GAGGTTATGTTTACCCAGGGTGTGGGGCACAAAGGACCTGCCCCTTCTGAAAGATGGTGGGACTGGGTCTGAGTGGCAGTTAACATTTCAGAGCTCCCCATGGGATCAGCCTGAGGCTAGTGTCCAGCCCCTTCCCTAACCTCGGACACCCTAGACCCCTCCCTGCCCATGAAGAGCCACAAACCAGAAGTCTGGTTTACCCAGCAAGCTCCTGGCTCAGAAAGAACTGTAATTGTCAGACTCAATCCATTTTGTCCACTGGTTTCTGAGTGGGCAGAAGAGGAGAGGTCAGTTGCCTGAATCCAACTGAACAGGCACTATGGTGTGAAGAAGGCACGAAAGATGGCTTCCTCCTGGGCTGGCGGAGGGAGGCCGAGCGAGTGCCTGGGAGCAGAAGCCTCGGATTTGGTCACACAGGCCTCCCTGCTCCAGGCCTGTTTGAAGTCTGTGGGCCGCCACGGTCTGCTGGACGCACAGCATTTGTAAGCAACTCTCTCTCCAGCCCAGTTAATAATTCAGGAACTGGTGCCTGCAGCCAGCCCGTCCTTCCAAACCCCTGCACCTTGAATGCCAAGCTAGTGGACAGAAGAGAAGAAATCACTGTGCCTGCTTGAAAACTGGTCCTCACTTCAGGTGCTTGCTGTGTCCCCAGAGCTGGGGTGGGAGAGAACCTGGGCCAAGACATATCTGCTGGGCAGACGGAGGGAGGAGGGTGGAGCTGTCCTGGGGGCTCCAGCATGCGCAGTAAGTACTATTTAACTTTTGGATCCTTAGCCACATTTGTTTTTGGACAGTGGTTTGTAGTCCCTGGAGTGCGGGCCTTGGGGGACCCAGCTCTCTTATTCTGGTTCAGCTATTCATCCTTCACTCACTTGCATGGTCATTCATTCATTCGTTCATGCACTCACTTGTCAGTCACTGATGCCACTGACATGGGAGTGGGCATCACCAAGGATGCAGAAGGAGTGGGGAGAGGCACCAACCTCGGGGAGATAGATGCACACAGTGGGGGACAGTACACTTGAGGGCTCAAGATGCCAAAAACAGTGGCTGGCAGCTTTGTGTGTGGGCACGGCCTGTTGCGTGCACATGCCAGGGACCCTGAGTGTCTGAAGCAGAGATGGGACGGTACAGGGACTAAAGGCGAAGATCATGGACTCTGGGGCCAGACTGCCTGGGCTCAAATCCCAGCACTGTCACTAATTTTTGTGGAGTTATCCTTGTTGTGCCTCAGTTTTCTCATATGTAAAATGGAGTTAATAGTGGGAGATTGATACAAACTCCCTCATGTTGTTGAGATAATGAACAGGGAGTTCATTAAAACAAAAACCCCAGAGTATGACAAACAGGGAGTACTGGCAGCTGTAAAGCTACCTTTAGAAAGTGACTTGGCAGTTTCCTACAGAGTAAACACACTTACGTACCATGCAACAAACTCACTCCTAGGTGTTTATCCAAGCTAAATGAAAAACTTATATTCATACAAAAACCTGTGCATAAATGTTTATTAATGGCTTCATAATCTCCCCAAGCCTAAAACAAACCCAAAGTCCTCTCAAGGAAAGAAGAGATAAACTGTAGAACATACTTAGCAGTGACATGAACAGCATGCATGCAGCACAGATGCTTTCTGCTGAGTGGAAGCAGCTCTCCTCAAAGGCTTCACGTACTGTGTGAGGCCTTGGCATTCTGGGAAACCATAGGGAGAGCCAAGTACTCGGTGGTGTGGGGTTGAGGGGCTGACTACCAAGGGGCATGAGGGGATTTTGGGTTGCAGGCAACTATTTGGTATTCTGGGTGTGGTGGTGGGTACATGACTATTTGTGTTTATATATGTACATCAAACTAGGTCTGTACACTGGAAAGGGTGCATGTGAATTTCGCCAGGTGGAAGGAACAGCACATGCAAAGGCCCAGAGGCTTGAAACCAGGTTTGAGATGGTATAAAGAGGTTTAGGAGGAAGTAGTAGATGCTCAGGTAGGGAAAACACATTTAGGTCAGTTTGTGAGGAGCCTTGAATGCCATGTCAAATCCTTTGGACAAAATTCAAAAGATCTTAAAAGCAAAGAATATAAGCAGTTTTGTACCAGAAAGATCACTCTGTTCTCCATTTAGAAGCAGAAGCCACTGAGTATATGGGCCTGAACCTGCCTTCAGAACTATTTTCATTGACTTCTACACCCTATTTTTCAAAAAAAGGAATTTGAATTTATGGTCAACATTTAAAACTCAGATTTTACATAGAACCCTGGATTTGTGGCTCCTCCATAGATGGCGATCCACCTTCTCCTCCATACCGTCACCTGACCTTACCAGCCCCTGCAGCTGAGCCAGGTTGAAAGTGGGTTAGAGGAGGGAGAGATCAAGGGCAGTGGCCTTTCCCAGTTTTGGCTGAACAGGACCACCTGGAGAACTTTAAACACTATGGATGCCCAGTGCAAGTCCCCAGGGATGGCCTGGGCATCTCTATGTTTGGGATGTCCCCCAGGTGATTCTGATATGCAGCCAGGGCCAGGAACCACTGTCTGGGTGGGGTGGGGGGTATGACGGCCAGGGTTAGGGGGTCAGTAGTGGCGGGTGGGGAGATGTTTAGGGACCAATGGGACGTGGAGCTAAGGCAGAGGCAGATTCCAATGTGATGTGAAAGGTCTGGGCTTGGACAGCAGGGTGAGATGATGCCAGCTGCTGAGAAGGCACGTGGGAGGAGGTGGTCAGGGGAAGGTGGCGAGCTGTGTCCGAGGAGTTTGTGGCTGAGGATTCCAGCGTGTTGTCTAACTTTGCTAAGCCTACAACCTGGCCTCTGTGCGCCCTCTGTTCTCCTCTGAGATAGGAAAGCAGGGAGACATCCTAAGGGGAGAGCACTGCAGTGATGGGGGTTGGGATGAGGCTTCCCCAGAGCCCACTGGCAGACAGGGGCTCAGTCGGGCAGGGATGGGGGCTCAGACCCTGCTGAGCGACTTTGCTCGGTGGAAAGTGGGGGAGAATGTACTCAGGGCACTCACGCTGGAGAAGAGGGTTCACCAATCCAGACACCAGTCCATCTCAAAACTGCTCACCCCTCCCCAAACCCATCAAAAACATCTGCTGAACCTTCTTGACCCCTAAACAGATGCTACAGCCCCATCCTGTTTCTTTTGTCAAGAATGCTTTTCTCTGTATTAGCAGCCACTATCCTTTCCGTACCTGTGAGTGGAGCAAAGCAGAAACCACTGTGCCTATTTTCCAGAGATGTAAGGAGAGGGGAGGAGACAAACATTTAGTACCTTTTACCTGCCAGGTACTTAACAACACATTTTCATGTAATCCACATAACCATCCTATCTATGTATGAAATAGAGGTATTCCCATTTTCCAGGCGAGGAAACTGAGTTGAAAGTATTTTGCCCCAGGTCACCAGCTTAGAGGTAGCAGAGCTGGTGCTAACTTCTTCTCTCAACGTGGTTCTTCGGTGTGTTCGTGGCCCACTGTCACTGTCCCCTTGACCGGGAATGCACACAGACTCACACCCTTCTAGCCTCTCCAGACACCTTTTATTGTTTTTGCTGGCCCCTCAGCTTTCCTTCTAGTCCCTAGTGGATGTCTTCACGACTATTCTGATCTCTGCCACTCAGTGGACACACTGACCCCCCAAGTCTGCGTGGTCAGCCCAGGGAAGGGCTTTATTGTCCTGACAAGGGACAGGCAGAGACCTCAGCCCTCCCACCCACCTGAAGGACATTCACTGAGTGGCCCAGAGCTGTCTCATCCCCACCATCCTCGGCCGGGCTGCTCTCGGTCACCATTAAGCATTTAGCATGGCACTGTCCTGCCATCGGAGGCTCTGCCCCAACCATCTCAACAGAAGATGATTTCCAGCCTCCTTTCCTGTCTCTGCCTCCTCTGCAATCTCCAGAGTGATTCAAGCGGGGCATCCCAGGGCATTTGCTCCTGGGAAGATTCTGGGCTGAAGCGACTGGGAAGCAGTGCTCAAAATGGAAGTGTAAAGGTCCCTTGCGCGATGCCTTCAGGGATGGGGCTCCCCTGACACAGCTGTCATGAGTGTCCCCCAGACGCTGCTGGCTCCCGTGGGCAGCATGTTTCACAGCCTGGTCCGGACTGAGCTCCCCACGGCCCTGGCTCCGCACGGCCGCCGTTCACTCCGGCGCGCTCTCGCTGTGGGCAGACCCAGCCAGGGGCCGCCTGCTCCTGAGCTCCTCATGGTTGCAGTTGATACTTTGGACCATTTCTTTACAGATGGTGCTAAGTGCAGATGGTTCTCAGTAGAGTTGGAGCTTGCCACTGGTAAGCTGCCCCCACTGATGAGTTTGGGCACAGATAATCCCGCCATGATGGTTCTCAGTACAGACCGCCTGGCCATTGATGGATCCCGTTAGGGCTGGCTTGTTGCTGGGGTTCACAGGGCTGCTGTTACTGCCACTGGCGGTTTTGTCAGAAGTGGCCGCAGCATGGATGGAGCTTGATACAGCTGTCCATCCCAACTGTGCTGCTTCATGTACGTGGCCTCATCATTGATTGCTGAAGCTCAGTGCAGATGTTGCTCATCATCAATAATTTTTGCTACGTTACCTCCTGTGCTTGCTATTACAGATGGAGCTAGTCATTGATAGTATGACACTGTGTACTTCTAAAATCAAGGCCTTTCCTACTTGTCTTGGCAATAAGCATTCTGGGTAAAGTCTGCGTTTGCTGGGTCCTCACAGCTGAAATTTCTGATAGCTTGGCAGCCTGCGAATCTTCTCATAAAGGTGTGCACACCTGGGCAGGCTGTTCAGCCTTGGCAACCTGGTCACTAGCTTCCACACTGCCCCCGGCCTTGTTCTCCTGAAGGCTGGTGCTGCTCGTCAGCCCGCTTTGCACATTGTCATCCGCCCTGAGGCTCTGGCAGCTGCTGGCCTGGCTGTAGAGAAGGCTGCTCACCTGGTAGTTGATGGCACTGCTGTCCAGGCTGACGAAACTGATGCTGGTCAGGCTGCTGGCATTGCTGCCTGGCAGGCTGGGTTCACTTTTCTTCTCCAGTCTGCTTGGTGGTGTCAGCTTGGCTGCTCGGCTGGCTCCTTAACTGGCTGGGAGAGTACCTGACACACAGCTGGCTGCTTCCGGAGCTGCTTGCCTTGGTGAGGAGCCTTTTACTCAACCTCACGATTCTGCTGCTGCCCAGCAAGCTGACCTTGCTGTTTTCATCTCCCGCATACCCGCTGCTCAGCCTGCTGAGGCCACTGCACTTGCCCAGGCTGGACTGCCGCGTGCTCTTAACATCGCTCTTGCTGCTCCAGGTGTTGCCCAGGTTACCACTGGGAACTCTCAGGGGTTCCTGGGTTGCCCCTGTGTCATGGGGCACCCACGAGGATGACTGGGGCTCTAAACTGGGTGGCTCTAGGCTTGTATCTTGGCCCTGAGCATTCCAGGCAGAAGGGTCTCCTTTTCTATCCTGGAGGGAAATAGGGGGCAACTGAATTGGTTTATCCAGGTGGAGGGGGCCCTGGGAGGCCTCTAAATGTTGGTGTGGCTTGTCTGGAGAGAGGAGGCTCAATTTATAAGGCTCCTTTTTAAAGCGGAGTGTTCTGATCGGCTGGCCCGGTTCCCATGGTGATAGGGTCTGTGTGGTCAGTGGGGTGAGGGTGGGTGGGAGAACAGTGCTGTCCTGGCACCAGGTACATCAGCGTCCCTCCCAAACTGAGTTGGGCAGAGATGGGGATTCGGGCCAGTTCGGAACCACTTTCCGAGGGGCCTGTGGCCTCTGCTGTGCCTCATCAGGAGACCTGGCTGTGCAGCCCAGCCTCGGGAGCTGCGTTTCCTCAGGGTATCACTCCGTGGGGGCAGGCGTGAGGATGGAGGGAATGTCACAGGAGTACTGGTAAGTACTCGCCAGATTGCTGAGGCTGCCTGGTCTGGCTCCTCTCTCTCAGCCTGGCCCCAGGTCACACCTCACCTGGAGGCCGAGTCACACTGGCCACTTTCTCACTTATACTCAAGCTCTCTGTGCTGGCTGTTCCCACCACCTGGAATGCTCTTCCCTGGGCCCTGCGGCCTTCAGGCTTCAGCTCCAGTGTCCTCCAGAAGCCTTCCCTGGCCTCCCCAAGAAGGTCCCTTTATTCTTCTCTGTGTCACTTCCTAATTTATGTGCCTTGTGGAATTAAGTTCAATTTACAGTTTATTTTTATATATTGGTTACCTATTGCTGACTCCCTCTGCTGGAACGTCAAACCTGGTGAGGGCAGAGATTCTGATTCCTTATTCTCTGCTATGTCCCCAGTGCCCAGCTTTCTGCCCAGTACATAGTAGATGCTCATTAGACATTTACTGAGAGTGAATAATAAATGAACTGCTCCGGGTGTGCATCTCAGCCATCTAGGGAGTTTTTAAAACCATGTTTAGCTTTTCTAGGACAGTGGCTGTCTCCCTTGGCTGCACAGCAGAATTGCCTGGGAAAGCCTAAGCCTGGGTCCACTTCCAGAGGTTCTGAATTAATTGGTCTGGGATAAGGCTTTGGCATCAGAATTTTAAAAAGCTCTCCAGGTGATTCCAATGTGCAGCTAGCACTGGGAGTTGCCGTGCTAGCAGGGGAAGCCCAGCTCGGTGGGCTTCCTTGAACATGGTTCTGTGCGCAGCTCTGACGAAGGAGTACTGTAGATGAAAACTCCTGGCATGACACGTATTAGTCCACACTACACAGATGTCCACTGAATGGCTGAATGAATGAAAAACGTCACTGACCTCTAAAGAGTTCATAGGTAGGATTTAAAGGCTTTGAGAAGCCATCAAAGTTGTAAGCCAAATTTGCAGTGAGCTACAATACGTGATTTTTTCCCTCTAGAGAAGGAGTCATAGTAGGGCTTTCATCAAATGCTTAAGGGTATTCATGGTCCTCAAAAGATCAAGAAGCATAAAGATTCAAGTCAACTCTTACCTTAATATTTGGGAGACGGATGGCCCCTCATTTAGCCTGAATGTAATAGGTACAGAGAGGGTTGGCTGACTCTGCTTGGGATGTAGGGGGCGGGGAGAGGGAAGGCACGGCTTGGAGAGTGAGTCACTGAGCCCTTGGCAGCCCTCAGCAGTGTCAGTGCTAATTATCACTGTCATCTTTATTGTGAATTTCTTTCCCAGAGCCCGGGGTCATTTAGCTTCCCTCTGCTGTACACGGAGGCATCTCCTTTGCTGTAGAAATTCTAATCCTTCTGGGGTGTAGAGGGGCATCTCATAGCTGCCTGACCCCTCTCTCTTCCCTACATTCCACTCTAGGGAGTTGAAGGGAAGGGACGGATATAATGGCTTTGTGGTGATGCCAGAGGGAGGGGTGTGTCAGGGCCCACCTATTGGGGGAAGCAGGGACAAAGCCTAGCCTTAGGGGACTGGTGGGAGAGAGGCAGGGTCAGCACAAGGCAGGTAGGCTGGGCGTCAGGACTGGCTGACAGGTGCCCCATTGCTGGAGATGAAAGGTGAACCTATTGGACACATTTCCCTCCACTCCCCATCCCACCTGCCCCAGGCACAGTGCACTGTGAGGACTGGGACAAACACCTGGGGCTCGTCCAGAATAAATGGTAGAGCGCACAGTGACCAGAGGCCCCTTCCTCCCCAGCCCACGTAACACCAGGATCAGCAGCCTGTGTGTGAATCCAGTGAAGCCACATGAATAGGTGTGGCTCAGTTCAGCACCCTCCCTCTGAAAGTCTCTCTTGTTCACTCTAGAGGTCTCCGTGTCCCATGTGAGCTCCTGTTCTTTGGGCCCAGCCTCCTCATTCCTGAGAAGCCCCCTGAGAGCGGTGCCCTTGCCAGGTCCCTGCTCACCCTGGGGGTCAGCCCACAGTGGCCCTGCCCAGGTGCTGCTTTCTGGCACCCTCCAGGGATGCATGTGCTCAGGGCCAAATGGAGCAGGACCCTTCTGAGTTCACAGTCCCAGCACCAAGGGTGTTTTCTCCCTGCGGCTCCTTTCTCATGCTGGCAGCTGTGTGCCAGACTGCCTTCTAAGTTTCCAGTCTCTGTTGCTGTTTGCCCCTTGGGACACCTCTCCATCTGAAACATGCATTCCAGCTTCTATCTCCAGATTCCCTTTCTCTCATGTATTTCGATTTCTTCATACAGGTGACTGGTACTCACAGGACCTCAACCTAACTGCCTGCATCCCAGCCAAGACTTGGATAGGAAACCTGGTTACAGTCACATTATCTGTGTGTCCTGAAGGCTGGTGTCCACCCTTCCCTGGTATGACAGAAACCACGCTGCATGTTCACTGAACCATCTCATTTCTCTCCTGGGCCTAGGAAAAGTACATTTCCAATCCCCTTACAGATAAAATCTCCAATGCATTCTTCTCTCTCCCTTTTCTGCAGGGACCTTTGGGAGCCTTGTGCTGAAAATGTATCAGAGTCCCACAAGAGGATAGAGCGTGGGTCCCTGAATGACCAGGTGGATGCAGAAATCCCTCCCTCCACCAAATGCATTTGTGATGTCAGTGAGCAATAAACTATTTTTGTGCTCAGCCACCAAGATTGGGGAGTTTAATTGTTAACATGGCAGAGTCTGCTTTATACAGAGCTGTGAGCCTAGACATTACCCACATGTTTCATTAGATTGAGCTTTCTCTCTGAAGGTTTCTGCAGTGGGTTCTGGGGCTGCTTTCCTGTCTCAGCATCTAACCGTATCATTCAATCCCCTGATGGGGAATCTATACATTTTTCTCTATTTTGAAGATGGGAAAGATTATTATCAGAGGGGCTTCACCAGCTCAGAAATGACCCAGCAGTCCACACCTCCAACCTAATATTTATCCTTAATATTCCAGCAGAAAACCCTGGCTAAGTTAAGTGTCAGTTCTCTGGATTTACACACTGTAATCCCTCCTAACTCAGTGAGGTGCTTTTCTGGTTTCCATCATTCAGTCAACAAATACTTCCTGAACTCAGATCTGTCTTTCCTTTCACTAGTGCTTACTGAGTACCTGCTCTGTGTCAGGCAGTGGGTAGCCCCTGACCTCAGAGATGTGAAACAAATAAGAAAGATGCAAGCACATATCTGTTGTGTCATAATAAATGTGAAGAGGACAATGAAGCAGGGCAGGGGTACCTCACAGAATGAGGGTGCGTGTGTGCCCATGTGCCGTGTGTGTACATGAGCACGAACACCGGGCCACTGTCCGTCAGTCCAAGTGAGCTAGCTCCAGGAGAAAAGGTCATAGAGGGGGCACAGAGAGCTGGCACCTTGGGAGCCCTGGTCAGCGCTTTGGATTTTATGGAGTGATTTGGGAACCACCGGGGCCTTTACAGCAGAGGAGAGACATCGTGAGTGGACGAGGGTGTGAACAGGCCGGCATGGAGAGCAGTCAGGAGGGGGCAGGGATGGAGCAGGGAGCTAGCTGGAGTCAGCACGATAGTGTGGGGGACAAGGGGGATGCCTGAACTGGGGTGGCAATGGGCCTGGAGAGCAGTGGTCGGATTCCGGCTCTGTTCTGAAGGCAGAGCTCAGGGTTTGCTGAAGACACAGCAGAGCCAGCTGTGGGGCTCAGGAGCCAAGGGTCAGAGGCTACATGGCCTCCTAGAGACGGCGCACTTCCCCTTCAAGCACGTGCGGGGTGAGAGGAGGGCAGGGCTTAGTGGTCAGGCAGTCAGACCAATGCGCATTCGAGCCTCAGCTTCCCCACTCTGGAACCATGCTTACTGACACACAAGTGGGTGGGGAGGACTAAATGCTCCACAAATGCTGAGAATGAGTAAGTGTGAGAGGTGATCTTCTAGACATTAGAAGACAGACAAGTCCTCCTTTGTGGATATCACAGTTGAGAGTGGAGAGACGCAGACACATTTCAGTCAGTGAGAAGGGCTTCAGGGAAAAGAAAATGGGTTGGGGAATAAGGGGAGGGCGACAGCACAACTGCCCCTCTACATCCTGGTGCTCTGGCGGAGAAAGGGCTTCAGACTCTGGTGTGCTGCAGTTCAAATCCCGTGTCTGCCATCCCGGTGACATTGTGTGACCACCTTAACCTCCCAGTGCCTTGGCTCCCTGCCCTGGGAGAAGGAGCAGCACTGGCAGCAGCATTTCCCGCATGGGCTGCGGACTGACAGGAGCCCACTTGGGGTGGTGTTGCCCTACCCTCATGGGACCTTCCATCTTAAGACAAAATATATGTATATGTATGAAAAAATACATTAAATAATACTTGAGTACATATGTATATATACATGAATACATACATAAATATGTGAATATGAAAGTGTATGTGTGTGTGCATACTCATCTAAGAATAGATACCTATATGCATATAGTAAACACATATGTACATCTACATGAAAACAGATGTAAGTGTATATACACATATACACACTTTTTTTTTTTGGAACCACAAAACCCTCTGGCCCTTAGCATCCCCTTCTGGGGCATTCACTCTCCCCCAAGGTTCTCCATGCAGAGCACGCTTACCCGGGAGTCTTCCCTGCGAGCCTCTGATGGTGCCTTTATGTCTTTCCAGGAGGCCCCATCACTAGGCCCCACCTGAGCAAGGACTGGCATTCTTG